GTGTGTGTTTGTGCGTGTCTCTCTCTGTGTCTCTCTCTCTTTTTCTCTCTCTCTATCCTCCCTGTTATTCTGTCTTTCTCTTCTCTCGGTCTCTTCTTTTCTCCCCTTTCTCTCACAGCCCCCCTCCTCTCTCCCTCTCTCCCCCACTCGCCCCCCTCTCCTCTCGCTCATCTGTCTCTCTGAGTATGTGTTTATGCATGTGTTTAAGTGTGTGTGTGTGTGTGTGTGTGTGTGTGTGTGTGTGTGCGTGCGCGTGCGTGTGTGTATGTGTGTGTGTGTGTGTGTGTGTGTGTGTGTGTGTGTGTGTGTTTGTGACAAAGTTGATGGCTGGGTGGGTAGGTTTTATCTACCTGGGTTAAACCATTTTGGACTGTCTCGAAGAACAAGATGATATTGGCATCTTCTCTTTTTTATTTGTTGCTCCCAAAGAAAAACCAACAACATCAAACCAACAAATGAACCAACACACAAACAACCTCCTGCCTCGGTCAGTGGGGAACAAGAGAAAAGGGAAGTCGAATATGCTTTAGACAGAGTTGAGATGGGGCTGAAGAGATCGGGGTGGGTTGAGGGTTGGAGAGAGAGAGTGAGAGAGAGAGAGAGAGAGACAGAGAGAGAGAGAGAGAGAGACAGAGAGAGAGACTGAGAGAGAGAGTCAGAGAGAGAGACAGAGAGAGTGATTGGGGGGTGGTGGTAATGCTAAGTTAGGACAGAGGGAGTTAAAGGGCAAGAATAAGAGAGAGAGAGGGGGGGGGGGGTAACGGAAGAGAACATAGCTGGTGTTTGGAAAGAGACTGGAATGCAAGATTTAAAAAAGAAACCACTGTGCACAAAATCAGAACTATCAAGTCTACATTTTTCCATCTAGCCCCAGTATTTGTCGTGAATGCAATGAATGTTTGCGACAATTCATACTTCCCCATACTTCACTCTCCATAACCACACGGTCATTTGTAACCACAGCCACTTGTGCAAATACGTAAAGCCAGCCTTCCTTTGTGATTCACTTTCCTATTAATCTCGATGCACGATGACAAAATCCATTTCAAGCTTTGGCACAACTCGGGCCAAGTAAATTGTGTTGACTCGGGATGTGCTGTGTCCTGCTTACTTAACCGATTGAAATCTACCTTAAAAGTAAAAGCATTCTGTTCTGTTTTTTCCCCTTGGCTGTAGATTTTTGGGGCTGTTCCAAGATTTTACAAATTAACCTGTACATTCTATACATTGTTTTCGACAGAGTTCGGCTGCCAATTTTCAGGAAAGCAAGCAGGCTTCTGAAGTGTCCTTGACGTGGAAGGTAAACAAAATATATAAATAAATTCAGTTTCTGAAATTTAGGAAGGCGTTGCCTATAAAGAGAGAGTGTGTTCTGAAGACTGTCTTTGTTCGTTTGTCGTGGGAAGATATCTTGTGGTGGATGGGCTTTCAGACCAAAATTTTATCAGCTGTTAGGGTTAAATAACGAAGGAAAGGCGTCTTGAGCCATAGTTTAGAGTTGCAACGGTCAGTCAATGGACTATACCATGCCCAACTACCGACCAGCCGTGCGGCCTACCTCAGCCAGGGGTGGCCCGCCCCCTCGTGGAGCGGCAGCCAATCAAGAGCTCGCACTGCGGCGTCAGGGCGGATCCGCTGTTGTGCCTCTGACTCCGCCCACCCCGCGAGCGATGCACACACAGGCCCAGTCCGGATCGTCCAGTGACACAGAGGCGGTGCTCAGCGGCAGACCCGAGGTGGGTGACGTCATCCCGACCTATACCTTTTGTGTCGTCTGCTGCTGTGGCTGCTCCTCGCGGGTGCAGAGTCAAAATGTTCTATCTACAAAAACAATGTAAAAAAGAAGTAAAAACTGAATTGTAGATGGAACCCTTTGGCTCTCAGCCCGTGCACGCCATCCGTTTTGGCTTTTGCCCTCGTGGCCGACCTTATTATTTGCACGCTTTCACTATTTACAATTCTTTTCCGTGTGCAAATGTTTCTTTTCACGTATTTTTTTCTCTCTCTATTTTCCCGGTTTTGTTGACTGTTTTAGCAGCTACCACCCCATAACGACCCCCCCC